AGTTTGCAGAAAGCCTTCTCTTGTAGGACTTCTGGGATTTGGAACAAAGGAAGTGAAGTCTGTTGATGGAGATCAAGTCCCCCTACAGCAACCTTTTTTCCTCTTTTCCAAACATGATGGACCATTCCTGAAACCCGCTGCTGGCTGAGCGTGGGCAGGTGGTCCCTGCTCCAGGGTCTGGGCTGTTGCTACTGCTCAGTCACATGACCAAGGAGCTTCGGTACTTGTCCTGCACGCAGGGAGACACAGAGATTGCAGTGGTTGTTTTCCATATTTCAGGATGCAGGGGTCGAAAGAGAGAGAGGCCTGCATCCAGAGAGGGCTTCCCGGTATAAAGGCAGCCCGGCTTCCCCTCTGCACTGAAGCACAAATTCACCTTCCATACAGACATCTTGAAGGCAGATGAGAGAGCAGAGTGGGTTGGTGACTGTCTAGGTCACTATCATCCCTAGTAACACAGGTTCAGACATACATGTAAAATTTAGTGTGAATTCTAATTGCTGTTAATTATAAAAACCCAGAATCAAGATTGGAGAAGAAAAAGAGCCAGTTACTACTTCTTAACTCTACTGAATCCTCAGACCAAAGGGCGATCCTGTCTCTAGGAGTCCTCAGACTGATCGCCTACACTACATGCATCTCTAGGAATCCCCAGACTGCCATGAGCCCGTCTCCTCCCTCCTTACATCCCTCTCTCTGCCCAGCTGTATCATTCCTGTCTCCACCACCTTAGTGATGCGATTAAAGGCATGGGATCCCAAGTGCTGAGGTCACTTTGTGTGAGCTCTGTTTCTCTTTTAGACTGGATCAATTTCATGTAACCCAGGGTAGTCTTGAACTAACAGAGATCTGTCTACCTCTGACTCCCCAAGTGCTGGGATATCACCACATAAAATCACATTTTCTAGAAGGTGAAGATTACTTTGTGGGGTCTACTTGCTACTGACTTTATAACCATGAAGGACATTTTAAAAAGCTTTCAATCTATCTAACCATTTTACCCAAAGTTGTATATATCTAAAGTTGTGTATATCTAAAGATATATATACATATATCTTTATGTATATCATATATACATATACCAGGCATATATTTACATACATAGCACATATATGTGCAAATATATAGACATATATAGGCATATATACATATATGGCACATATACATATACAGATCATATATTTACATACCTATGGCATATATATGCACATATAGTGCATGTATGCACATACACAGGGCACATATATGTACACTTATATAGGGCATGTGTGCATGTAGGGCATATATGCATATATACATCTATATGTGATGTATACATATAAATAGGACATATATATGCACACACATATTTCATATTTATAAATATATAGGGCATATAGATACTCATAGGGCATACATATAGGGGATATATACACATATATGCACATATAGGGCATATATATTGCATATGTATACATGTATGTGTGTGTATACGTGTGCCCTATTTGCAAATGACCAGCTCTAGTTCCATCTGAAAAAAAATTTAACAGATGATCTTATCTTAGGTTGCTTTGTGTTCCTAAAACAAGATACGATGGGATGGAACACTTTATAAAGAGATTTATTGACTCGCAGTTCTGGAAGATGATGAGCATGACTCTGCTGCTGGCCTGACCTCAGGTCTGACCCCATCATTTGGGAATAATAGACCAGTTGTGTCCTACGAGGGCAAGAGAGACCAGGAGGCTCGAAGTTTAGCGCCTCCATGTCAGGCTCCATACAGATCACTGGGGATGCCGTAACTGGAATTAGCATGGAGCCTTCCTGTCTCATCTTATAATAGTCAGTACCTGAAATCAGTGTGATTATACTCCTTTTCCAGAAGGAAGCTTGAGTGGAGAGGCTATGTGCCTTGCTCAGTGTTACCAAAGTCTAACAGTGCGAAGGTCAACATTTAAAAAATAGTAGATATGGAAATCCACTGTCCCAGTTTTTAAGTGGGAGGTTAACTTGTACTCTGAGGGTCCCTTGTGGGCAAAGCGAAGAGAGAAAACTCATGGCCTGTCTGAAGACCCCATCTAGCTCTTCACTGGGTTGGAAACAATGCCTTTGATCTCCACCTGCGTGGGCTTTGCCTTTTGTCTATGACGTGTTCTGACCTTGGTAGAATACGAACACCCACACGGTAAGTTTTCTTCTGTCCTGGTGAGACCAGGCCAGTTTCTTCTGGCCCCGTGAAAAGCCAGTAGCACCTCTCATTTCCATCCACTCTTGGGTGCCATGCACATGCTTTCATTATGGAATGGATATGTCCCCTCTGCCTGATAATGCTTACTTCAGAGTTTCATCTCTGTCAGGACAGTGAGGAGGTCAGAAAGGTACTCTGACTGCCATGTTTGTAGAAGGGGCCACCAGCATCACTAGGTTACACAAGGGTGGCAGGATGGGCCCTATGATTGAATGCCATTAACTGCGGTTTTTCAGTACTTAGAGATGAGCCCAGGGTGTTGCTAGGTAAAAGGAGTCCCTGCAAACACATCCCCAGGGCAGCCAAAGTGGTTTCCTAAGAAGGGAAGACACCTACATGCCTACCCTTCTTTGCCTCTTGCCTAGGAACTTGTCAGTAAGCTGCTCATCACCAGATATGACCCTTGTCCTTGTTCCTCACAAACAGGAGCCACCATGGACTCCCTTTCATCTGACTGGTCTGTGGTGTTACAGCTGCAGAAGAGAGGGTAAGGCCACATTCCCAAGGAGACTGTAGCTGTGGAATGCAGTACTTGTTGGGAGAAGCATTTCGTTTGCTTTCCTCATAGCTGAAGATAGGGGTTGGGGCGACCCTGGGAGGTACAGCACTTTCCGAGCACAGGTGAGGTCCTGGGTGTGGTCCCCAGCAATGCACCAAATAAACAGCGCAAAGTCGAGTAAAGTAGAGGACTCTGCATGCATAAGTACACACGTCCAAGGCCTTGCACACCACATGGCCAAGTCCCCTCTGCTAGCCCTGAACTCACACAGTCCCTGGAGTTAAGAAAAAATGGGATCCAGGAGCCAGGATTTAGTATATGCTGATGCTTAAGAACCCTGACTAATCAGAGATCATCATAAGGAAGAAACACCTTTGCTCATGGGGTTTACATGGGGCTTTGAGATAGAATGCCACAGTGCAAGCCAGAGGGCTTCAAATTCATAACTATCTCCTCCCACATTCCCTATATACTTTGATCAAGAGAACACATACTTGTGTGGTCTATTTCCATTTTTTACTTATATCAAAATATTCTTTTGTGATCCAAACAAATACCTAAAATTGGGGAGTTATTATTTCAGGGAGGGCCACAGAAGAATGAAAGACATAACAATAATTCAAATCTCTTTTCCCTTGGACCACACTTAAGCGGCTGCTGAGATATCCCTCTGGGATATTTGGGGTGTCTTAGTAGCTTTCTGTGTGTGTTTAACTTCCAAAGTCTGGGTAGAAGGGTTGGGGGGAGGTCAGATCTGTTTTCATTTACATTTTGATTTTTAAGGATATGGAATAAAAACTATAGTGATTCTAGTAACTATGGTCAAATTAGTGTCCCTGTACAGCTCTGCCAGTGGCTCTGCTGACTAACGAACCCAGATGGTCTCCTCTGCATGCCCCCCTCATGGGCCTGGGAGGATCTGAGTGTCACAGAGCTACACACGCATGTGCAGAATGTATTTAAAGCCCTGAGTTCAATCCCTGCCAATGCCCTTGTTAAAAAAAAAAAAAGAAGAAGAAGAAGAAAGAAAGAAAGAAAGAAAGAGAAAAGAAAAGAAAGAAATGGAAAGAAACAACCCACATACTATCTTATTCTGCAATTTGGTCCTCTTCCCAGCTGTATTAGGACACAGCCTCTGCCAGTCTGATTAATCTTTGAAAACACCTGCTAAGTGGGCATTCATTTATATTCTCCCAGAACCCACTCATCCTAGAAGCTGGCCTGACAGCACTCCACACTTTGGCCAACCAACTCTGCAAATGACACCTTTGTCCCCAGAGAGGACTGAGTGACAAGTAGTGGATAGACTGAACAGAGAACTCTCTTCAGCAGAAAACACAAGTCGAAGACGAAATCCCCCTGGGGAGATTCCTGCAGGGATATCCCCCTGAGGAGCCCTGACTACTTATTTTCTCTTCATTTAGACCAAAGGTATCTTTGAGCAGTCACCTGTAAGGGACAGTAAATAAGCAGGAGTCAGAGGAGGCTGCAGGCAAAACCCCACCAGGAATCAGAGGAGGCCCCGGGCAAATTCCCAGCACTCTTTGAAATTTGGAAGGCAGCGGAACGGAGCACTTTGCTCAGACAGGGCTGTCACCTGGAAGAACAGAGTGACAACTGGAATTCACAGGGCCACCATGAAGCTTTAAGTAATGGGGGAAGGAACAGGGCTTCTTGGGAGTTCTAGGGTAGGACTAAGGCAGGGTGGCCACAGTGGCATGCAAACTGTCCTCAATGTGGTCCACTGGCTGCTTGTTTTTCTCTCCTTGTTGGGTCTCCGGGCCAGCACAAAGCAGTTAGCAGTTTCAGTGGCTTTCGGTCATTGTATTGCTGAAGGTGGACTGAAATCATTAACACGGGATGGATGAAATGTTACCCTGTATCAAACTCTTCCCCCACTTTAAAGATTCTTGGAAATACTGAGACTACATTTAGTTCTTGCCCTTTTATGGATGCTCCTGCCAGCGCCAAAACGTTGGGGGTGGAGGGAACTGTCATCATTCACTTTCAAAAGGCAAATTTGAAACATCTAATGAAGTATAATTTCATCAAAAAGGTCAGGCTGCAGATTAGACCCCTGTCACTTGTTGATTCTTTTGGAGTGAGTATGAGACTTCAAAATTCCCCTTCCGAGTTCAGGATAAATAAGCCTGGCAGGCTTATTATCCTATCGGATAAAGGCAAATGGTGTTAAGCAAGTCATTAACGTGGAGACATCTAAAGGAAGGACCCACAGGGACCTGCTGAATAGAATGCCCCAAGAAAATACCGGCTATGCGTTTGGTCTGGCAGACACCAGAGTCCTCTGGGAGAGGATAGGGAAAGTCACCCTTGGCTGGTTGTGGGCCCCATCCTGGAACCTTCAACAACAGGCCTGAGGGGTTCCTTTCTTTCTTTGTCACAGAGCAAGTAACAATGGCACAGAGGATCCTCCCGGGGAAGCAAGGGGAGGGTTCCAGGCTCTGGCTACTGGGCACTAACCTACTTGCATGTTATCAGTTAGGAAACAAATTGTGATCCTAACTTAAACAGGTAAATAGCCCTACAGGTGCCCCAGTGGGGTTTTACACACACACACACACACACACACACAGAAAGAGAGAGAGGGGGGGGGTCGGAGGGAGGGCGGGAGACAGAATTGCAATAAAAACTTGAATTTTGCTTTAAACTTAATCATCGGCAGCATCCTTGTTCTCTTAATAGTCATCCCAGATCCCAAATTAAAATTATCTCAAGACATTGTTTGATGTCACTCTCCATTTGCACCAGACACAGAAAGCACCAGTTCTGCCCAATCCCTGGTTCCATGCGACTGCTGCCTTCCCAGCTCGGGGCCCCACTAGCGGCCACGACGCAGTGGAGCAGCAGAGGCGCGTTCGGCTTCCCGGGCGCAAGGCTGGGTCGGGTACAGCGGCGTGCGGTGCCCCCTGCCAGCTGCGGATCCAGCGGCCCAGGGCGCTGGCGGCTCCCGCTCCTTCCCGACGCTCGCAAGCCAGCAGCCGCCGCCGCCGCCGGGGACACGGCCGCCCCGTGCCTGGCGCGCTCCAACTCCTCCTCGCCGCCGGTGACCCGGGACAAACTTCTGGCTGGGGCGCGGTCCCCGTCCCTGAAGCCAGCGTGGGAAACCCGAGGCGCTGCCGGGGCGAGCTAGGGTCGAGGGTGGCGCCCCGGGCGGTTGCTCCTGCCCGCTGGGTCCCGCCCGCATCTTGGCGGTGGCCGCCCCACGGAGCCCTCCGGCGCCGCGCAGGCCGAGCTGGCCCGGGGCCGGGGACACGGGCGCTCGCGCCCTCTAGCGGGCCGCGGCGGCTCCGGCCCGGCCGTGACGTGGGCTCCTTCCAGCCGGCCTGCGGGGCACCGCCAGTCAGTCGCGGAGCAGGAGCCCCGCGCGCAGCCGGCGTGGGCTCGGCCATCGGCGCGCCGCCGCCCGAGGTGGCTGGGTCTGCGCGAGGACAGGCGGCGGGCTCCGAGCGCGCTGTCACGGCCAGGGCCACGGCGCCGCGGGCGGCTCGGTCCCGAGCAGGGGCAGCGCTTAGGCGGGCGCAGCGCCGGATCCCAGCGAGGATTTGGGCTCGGCGGGCGCGCCCTCCGTTCCCTCTCCCGGCGGCGCCGGACTCCAAGCCCTGGCCAGCGGGAGGGCAGGAGGACCCGGAACACGGTCCCCGCGCCCGGGAGCCGCGGGACTTCGGACTTGTGCAACTGTTGCCACTTTCGGGTCTGGTGTTTCGCCGCTGTAGCGACTTCCCTGGCTGCCTGCGGTTTAGGCTCGCGTCCCCCTCGGCTTCCCGCTTCTACCGGCCGCCGCCGCTCCGAGGCGGCCCGGCGCGCGCTCAGCACCATGAGGACACTTGGGACTTGCCTGGTGACTTTGGCTGGACTTTTGCTAACTGCGGCCGGGGAGACGTTTTCAGGTAAGCAGGCCGTCTCTGCCGTCCCCGGGGCGCGTGGGACGTAGGCGCCTCCCGGGTGGGGGAGTCCGGGGCGAGCTTCGGGGCCGGGCAGGGGCGCGCAGGACCCGGCATCGGGAGCGGGTGATCAGGGTGAGCCGGGCTGACCGATGGCCGGAGGCAAAGCAGCCGCCGCCGCGCCCCGGGGACCCGTGCAGCGCACGCCGGAGCCCGCAGGACGAGCCAGGAGCTGGGACCTCCATCTCGGCCGCTGTCACCACAGGGCCTGGACTTGTGCTCGGGGCTCGCAGTCCCTGAGCGGCCCGGGCAGGAGCGGCAGAAAACTTTGCCTGAACTTCCCAGCTGCAGCCGCCGGGAGTAGGCGCTGCGCGGGCCTCTCGACCCCGGTGGCGGCGGGCATGGGCTGCGGGTGCTTAGCTGCGCCCGTTGCGACCTCCGGAACCGGTGCTGGAGCGGGAGTTCTCCCGGAACCTGACCTCCCTGCCGCCCCCCGCCCAGCACCGCGGGCGACCTCAGCGGGTCCCCGCCGTTGTGCGGCGTCGCTGTAACCGCGGTTCCCTATCTGCACCGCGGGAGGTCTCCGCGACCCTAGAGGAATCTGCAGCTCCCCTAGCCCTGGCCACCGTGGCTGGGCGCCCGGACCCCAGCCTCGGCCTTCCTCCGGGAGGGCCGCCGCGGCCATGACAACTTGCTAACCCAGCCTGGCTGCGCGGGGGGTCCCAGCTGAATGGAGGGGGCTGGCTGTGTGCACCAAGCCAGGCTGAGGCTGTGCACAGCCAGGTTTGTCGCGAGCCCTGGGGAGCTCTTGGTGGAGACAGAGGGTCTTTGACAGGAGTCAGGGGCCAGGCGCGAGACCGAAGCTGGCACCCATGCCCAGGCCTTACTTCTATGATCCTCTGTCCCAAGAGGACACAAGTGGATGCTTGGCAAACGCTGTCAACACGCACACACTCTGTCGTGTTTGTTCACACACAAAGGTGACAGAGGAGACTTACCTTTTTATTTTAATAAGAAGGCTGCATTTAACCTTGAACACGAGTTACAAAATGGGGGTTCTATGTTTTATTATTTTTGTGTTCGAGGGAGGGGGTAGCTGAGTAAGTTGGACTTTAATTTTTTTTGGGGGGGGGGTGAAGGGAACTTTCATTAAAGTAAGAAGTACATGTACAAACGTGAAAGTCACATAGATCTCTGGTCAGTGAAAGCATCAGGTTTGATTTTCTGGGCACCTTGGGGTGGTCCTTTGTAAACATGGGCACAGGAGGTTGTATTGAGCTGGGTACTGAGAACAGCCGGTGGCAGAGATGAAGGAAGCTGATATTTTAGCTGTGCTGTGCCTTGAAAGAAACCACAGACTGTTAACGGAGAATGCTGTTCCCGCTACCTTAGTGTCTCCCTAACAACGTGAAAATTGCGCGCGCGGCATTTATGCACCCATGAACAGGCTTCCCATGCAAAGTGGATATAGATTTTGGCTGTGTTATCATTAGTGGATGTGCTAGTTTGGAAGCATTGTATCTCGTTGGTACTGAAGCTAAGTTTGAAGGCCTTGATGATATTTTTCTCTTCATTAATATGCCTGTCTCTCTTAGATGGGGTCTGTTTACGTTTAAGCTGTGTCAAGTATCATTGTGATGGACCTTTACATTGTGTGGAACGTGGGCAAAAGTTTTTATATGACTCAGCGGTACTCTTCTTAAAGATAGACTAATTGATCCTTTGAAGCAAGCATTTGCAAACATTTATCCCGATCTTCCTTTTGGGGAAAAATGCATTTCTATTTGTGGAGTTATACTGACTGGAAGCACCTTCTCTTATTTGGGAAGCTTAGAGTTTTCCTTGTATGCTAGTGGAGAGAAGGCTGTATGCAAATGATTGTTTAGAAACATTGAACATTTGAAACTAAAGTTGGCAAGGTTCCTCATTGGGAAGATTACACACACACACACACACACACACACACACACACACACATACACACACACACACACACACACACACACACTTTGCCTTTTGGGAAACAGAGACCAGGAGCACACTGCCCTGGGAAAGGGATGGCTGCTGGGTTTATGTGTGTGTTGAGAAGATTGGTTTTGATACTGTGACACTATTTCCCTCATACAGTTCTGTTGTTGCTGGCCACCTTCCATCTGGGTTGGGAATACAATGAAACATTGGTAGAAGTAGATTGTAAACTCCCTGAGGACAAAGGACTCCTTCCCATAAAAGACTTAACTTAGAGCCTTGGACCTAACAACAGGCACTTGCTGCTTACTTAATGAGTTACTAATGTGGCTCATTGCCCAAGTAAGCTTTAAAATAGTGTATGAAGCCACCGGCATGGAAAAGAGGGAGAGCATAATTCTCAAAAGGCAGACTTTGACTGTAGCTCAGTGGCTGAGGTCTGGACCATGATGGTCAAAACTCCGGGTTCTGTCCCGAGCCCCTGCCCTCCTGGGCTTACATTTCCTCTTGGTATCCCTCCCAGGGATCCAACAGTCAAGGTTATGCATTCATTTTTTTCTGCCTCAGCATCGGTCCCCTTCCTCTTTAGAATGGGTTTGGAGTTTAAGACTCATTATCAATCGTTTATAGAGTGTAGAAGTGGGCTAGGTTTCTTCCTTTTTTATTCCAGGCATCAGAAGTGAACTCGGTAGAAGGTAAAAGAATTAAGCTTTGGGCCCATGTGGATTTTATAATCCATGCGTATTTCACGTGGAAAATATTTTCCATCTTTACCCTTGTAAATTGTTAGGCAAAATAGCAAAGTCAACTGTCTGTCTTTAGGTTTAGATTATTAGGAAAATGTCTTCTGTAAAAAGACACTAATAAAGGCACGAGGGAGAGTTAAATGGCATTGCTCAAGCAACCCTTTTCCATGGTGAGGAGCCAAGGAGTTGGCAAGCTTTCCTCTTTGACCCCATTTAAAAAAGCCAGCTTGTAAGTGTTGGCAGTGAAGTGCTTAATTCTACATGGGGGGGGGGAGGCTGATGTGTAACACTTGCAAAGCTCTGGCTTGCAAAAACAGGACAGGGTTGGCTCTCCATTAGACTCTGGTGTTGGGGCTATGTTAAGCCCACAAAACTTCATTAATGTGGGGCCCTCCACAGAAGTTTAGTTCTGAATCTTTCAAGGATGCTAGTGAGGAACCTGTGGAGAGCCAAAGTCTGTGCTGCGTGTGATGGCCTTGTGTTGCCTGCTGTCCCTTTCTCAATGTGGGCGATTTTGCTCTGGTTACTCAAGGTGTTAGCACCAGGGAAGCTGTGCAAAGGGGACACTTGAGCTTCTGCAATGTCTCCCGGAGTATGAAGTGGTTTCACAGTACAGGCCTGTGGCGGACTGCTTACCCATCGGCGGCCAGTCTGTTTAGCTGGTTGGTGTGTTTGGTCCCTTTTAGACAACCTCTGTCACGACGATTTACATTTTTGTGCAGGTTAATTGAAAGGAAGAAATACTTCAACTTTCAATCAGTGAGCTGGAAAGGAGTATGTCAGGAAATCACTACAGCATTATATTCTTGGTGTTGGGTGTTTGTGAAGAATTGTTTGAGCATAATAAATTGTTCCGATGTAGGAAATTACAGGTTTTAGTCTGTGTTGTGTAGGGTTGTTTTATGGGTTTTCAGATAAGAAACTCCTGGCATAGGATGAAGGATGGATGCTTGGATACATACCTGGAATATTTCTAAATGATTTTTTTTCCTTAAGGAACTGGTGATTTTAATTATGTCTTTAGATGACATGAGCCATGGTCTTTAGAGTTGGGAGAAGTTGCTTTTACAATATCAACATATCTAGGACAATTGCCTATTAAAATCCATGGCTATATTTAAGTCTTTCACAGACTGTAGTGTGTTCTTGATGTTATTAGGGTGCCTGTATCCACTCTGGTGGAGCAGCTGTGTTTTAGATTAATATTTTTTACTTTGAGATTTTTTGTTTTAGATTTCATTTCATTTCCTAGGATGCTATATTATTTAAATAGTTGGAAGTATACACTTTTCCATTTCGGAAGGATGGGAAGGCATTTTAACTGAGTTAAACATACTTTCTATTTATAATGGTTATTTTTATTTATAATGATCTATTTATATTATATATGCATATGCCTGCACAGGTGTATGCTAATACCCAAGGAGTCCAGAAGGGGGTATGAGATCCCCTAAGAGTTGGAGGTACAGATGGTTATAAACCATCCTGTGTAGGAGATGGGAACCAAACTCAGGTGCTCTTTAGAGTAGCAAGTGTTCTTAACCACTGAGCCATCTTTCTAGCCCCATGAATTAAACATTTATTTCTTAACAACTTTCTAAATGTAAGACATCCTTAGGAGACATTTATGATATACTTTTCATTCATTTTAAGACTCTTATATTTGAAAGCCAACCTCACCCCCCCCTCAGTTTTGTGTGTGTGTCTCTGTTCCTATCTCTGTGAGTACAATGCAGGACTGCTAATAGGCTTATCTTATAATCCAGGGGAAGTTTAATTATGGCCTGCTTCCCACCTAACTAATGAAACATTTTTTAAAAGACTCAAAATGCCTCGAGCGAGCCTTCTACTGTAAGAGGACACAGCTCCTCTGGGACTGTAGCTGTTTTAGGTTTAGTCATCAGAAAGTCAGAATTCACCCTGTAACTTTCACCAAAAGGGGGAAAAAAACCACCAGAGAAAAATAAGCAGGGCTGTCCGTGTTGGGTGGGGAGAAGGAAGGATGTAGTCACCAAGCTTCCTGTTCTACAAAGCACCCTATTTCCCTTTGGTGGGGCAGCTGGCAAGTCCAGGCTATAATTAAGGGTCTGGGAGTGTGAGGGAGAAAAATAAAAAAAGAGAAAGCAGGAGGAGGGAAGAAGTATTTTGTAAGATGGGCAGCCCTGGGGAGCCCCTGTGTGTAGGTCTATTGCTGTTAAGGAGGGATCTAAGAAAGTGGGTTCCTAAGACAGGAAAGATATCACTCATGATGGCAAACATCACTTCTGAGCCCTGCACCCTCCAGCCTTTCCA